AATACTAATCTTGAATCTGCAGATTGTCTACCCTTAACCATATACTAGCATTCTCCATGCAGAGTGTCTACCCTTAACCATATACTAGCATTCTCCATGCAGAGTGTCTACCCTTAACCATATACTAGCATTCTCCATGCAGAGTGTCTACCCTTAACCATAATCTGGCTTTCTTCATTCAGAGTGTCTACCCTTAACCATATACTAGCATTCTCCATGCAGAGTGTCTACCCTTAACCATAATCTGGCTTTCTTCATTCAGAGTGCACACCTATAAAGTTTAAGCACGGGCAAAATATTTTCTTTTCCTTTTTGAAAAATTAATGAGGGGTTAAGACCCTTTGTCTGTTTTTTACTGTTTTGTCCATACTGAGTAGATTCATCCTTTCTTTGTGATCTATGGTGACCATTGTCATTGAGATAGAAAGTAAGCGGAAAATACAAAATTGTAAAGTTGTCACCAGAGCAAGGGGTGAGGGGAAATCTTCCAGTAGGAACAGATGTTCTGCTTGCAGCTGTTTAAGATGAGAATTCCCATTACTTTGGTGAGATTTCCTCTCATTTCTTGTTATATCTCCAGGATAGGAAGTGGGACACAGAATGCAAAAAATAACCTCATATGGGTTTTAATTCTTCCCTACTCTATCCAAAGCAAAATATGTTTGGGTTTTACATGTACTTTAACCATATTCTAGCGTTCTGTGTAGCATCCCTTACCCATAGTTTAGTGTTCCGCCTCCAGTCTGCCAGTCCTTACTAACAATCTAGTGTTCCAGCTCCCAGACTACCAGCCCTACCCACAGGCTAGTGGCCCTCATGCAAAGTGTCCGCCCTTAACCAGAATCTGATATTCCTCATTTAGAGTAGCAACCTTTAATCTCTAGTCTTGAGGTTTTTTTTTCCATACTACGATCCCTGACTTCTAGTCTAGTGTACCTCCTCCAGACTACCATTCCCGACTTCTAGTCTAGTGTACCTCCTCCAGACTACCATTCCCGACTTCTAGTCTAGTGTCACCTCCTCCAGATTACCATTCCCGACTCCTAGTCTAGTGTACCTCCTCCAGACTACCATTCCCGACTCCTAGTCTAGTGTCACCTCCTTCAGACTACCATTCCCGACTCCTAGTCTAGCGTACCTCCTCCAGACTACCATTCCCGACTCCTAGTCTAGTGTCACCTCCTTCAGACTACCATTCCTGACTCCTAGTCTAGCGTACCTCCTCCAGACTACCATTCCCGACTCCTAGTCTAGTGTACCTCCTCCAGACTACCATTCCAGACTTCTAGTCTAGTGTCACCTCCTCCAGATTACCATTCCCAACTCCTAGTCTAGTGTACCTCCTCCAGACTACCATTCCCGACTCCTAGTCTAGTGTCACCTCCTTCAGACTACCATTCCTGACTCCTAGTCTAGTGTACCTTCTCCAGACTACCATTCCCGACTCCTAGTCTAGTGTACCTTCCCCAGATTACCATTCCTGACTTCTAGTCTAGTGAACCTCCTCCAGACTACCATTCCCGACTTCTAGTCTAGTATACCTTCCCCAGACTACCATTCCCGACTTCTAGTCTAGTGTACCTCCTCCAGACTACCATTCCTGACTCCTAGTCTAGTATACCTTCTCCAGACTACCATTCCTGACTCCTAGTCTAGTATACCTTCTCCAGACTACCATTCCTGACTCCTAGTCTAGTATACCTTCTCCAGACTACCATTCCTGACTCCTAGTCTAGTATACCTTCTCCAGACTACCATTCCTGACTCCTAGTCTAGTATACCTTCTCCAGACTACCATTCCTGACTCCTAGTCTAGTATACCTTCTCCAGACTACCATTCCTGACTCCTAGTCTAGTATACCTTCTCCAGACTACCATTCCTGACTCCTAGTCTAGTATACCTTCTCCAGACTACCATTCCTGACTCCTAGTCTAGTATACCTTCTCCAGACTACCATTCCTGACTCCTAGTCTAGTATACCTTCTCCAGACTACCATTCCTGACTCCTAGTCTAGTATACCTTCTCCAGACTACCATTCCTGACTCCTAGTCTAGTATACCTTCTCCAGACTACCATTCCTGACTCCTAGTCTAGTATACCTTCTCCAGACTACCATTCCTGACTCCTAGTCTAGTATACCTTCTCCAGACTACCATTCCTGACTCCTAGTCTAGTATACCTTCTCCAGACTACCATTCCTGACTCCTAGTCTAGTATACCTTCTCCAGACTACCATTCCTGACTCCTAGTCTAGTATACCTTCTCCAGACTACCATTCCTGACTCCTAGTCTAGTATACCTTCTCCAGACTACCATTCCTGACTCCTAGTCTAGTATACCTTCTCCAGACTACCATTCCTGACTCCTAGTCTAGTATACCTTCTCCAGACTACCATTCCTGACTCCTAGTCTAGTATACCTTCTCCAGACTACCATTCCTGACTCCTAGTCTAGTATACCTTCTCCAGACTACCATTCCTGACTCCTAGTCTAGTATACCTTCTCCAGACTACCATTCCTGACTCCTAGTCTAGTATACCTTCTCCAGACTACCATTCCTGACTCCTAGTCTAGTATACCTTCTCCAGACTACCATTCCTGACTCCTAGTCTAGTATACCTTCTCCAGACTACCATTCCTGACTCCTAGTCTAGTATACCTTCTCCAGACTACCATTCCTGACTCCTAGTCTAGTATACCTTCTCCAGACTACCATTCCTGACTCCTAGTCTAGTATACCTTCTCCAGACTACCATTCCTGACTCCTAGTCTAGTATACCTTCTCCAGACTACCATTCCTGACTCCTAGTCTAGTATACCTTCTCCAGACTACCATTCCTGACTCCTAGTCTAGTATACCTTCTCCAGACTACCATTCCTGACTCCTAGTCTAGTATACCTTCTCCAGACTACCATTCCTGACTCCTAGTCTAGTATACCTTCTCCAGAC